ATGCTTCCTCCTCATGTGTGTGGTTTTTCCTTTCCAAGTATAGGGAGTGTTTGCATTGCATGTTATATATAAAACCAGTAATTTGAGTCAAGCTCAAACCCATTCGAAAAAAATCATGGTTGAGCTTGGCTATATGAGTTTTTTTAAGGGAGTAAGATACTTTAAGCCTGATTCAAATAAGAGTTGAGCCCAACTCCTGAAATTTCTAGCTCTATGTGCATGTAAAGTAGGTAATTTTTGCCAAGCCCGAAGAGCCAGCCCGAACTTGACCAAAAAAATTAGAGTTGAGCTTGGCTATATGTGTTTTTTTAAAAGGATAGGATTTTTCAAACTTGATTTAAATAAACTCGACTCGAATTGAGCCCGATCAAATAAGCCCACCTAACCCAAATTATCAGCTCTAGTTATATGTATATGTGGTGGTGTGGCTTTTTCTTTCCCAAGAATAAGGGGTGTTTATATATGATATAAATTATATTTTTCCCTTCTTAAATTGTAAGTTAATTTGATATTAGATTGTGCATATAAATAAAAATAAAATATAATAATAACACTTTATAAATTTATTTTTTAAAATAAAATTATAAATTTTTTAAAATATCTCTACACGCTTAATCATGATATTACAATATTATTTTAATTCTCTTCCCACATGAATTAAACACAACAATGACACATGATGCTACAATGTTTAGATCTCGATATAATACAAGTCAAGTTCCACATTTATAATACATGAGATAATACTTTTAAAAGTGTAGTTTATGGGTAAATAAATTTTTTTTGGGTAATATTGAGATCAATTTGCCACTTCTTTGCGTTGTCAAAAGTATTATGTTAACTTTTTGTCTGTAGGATAGTCCGTACACATGATGTCACCATTCATGCCTTATCACGCGTCACTTATCAACGTTTTGTCATCCACCATGCCTAAAATGAGGAAGTGGAAGTGGAGGGAAACGGAAGAAAAAAAATAGAAACACTCCTTTTCCCTAAAATGGATAGTCAACTCTACTCACCGATGAAAATAATAAAATTATTTTAAAAATAATTTTTTAAATTTTATTTTTACATTTGAAAAAAAAGTAATTTGATGTGTGAAAAATTAAAATACTGCACTCTTTTTTAGAATTTATTTGAGGGCATTTTTAGAATTATTCATCAAATATTAAGAAAATACTTATATAAAGAATAAAAATAATCTTTTAAAAAGTGACTTAAAAAAAAAATCAAAGGGAGTAATAATTAGGGCCATTCAAATGATCCAGTCCTATCCACGCTGTTCGGGCTCATTAGGCCAAACACCGGGCCTAGGGCATACCTTATCCTGCCTAATTTGGCTAGAACATATGTCATTTTTTTTAGTTTTTAAAGTTTTTTTGTAAATAATATTTATTTAATGATTTTTTTTTTGTTGAGTGTTATCATGTGCTATATTATTTTTATGATCTTTTTGAACATCTCTTATCCTTACAACTTTGTTAATCTCTTTTAAAATTTAAAATATATTTTAAACTTAATTTTATGTAAAAATAATTGACAATGGATGGTCATGTGCAATTTAAAAAAATTAATTTTGATTCAAATATTATTTTCATTAAAAATATATTTTAAATAATAATTATATTATTTTGAAAGAAAAACATTTTTTTATATTTTTCAAAAAAATATTTGTAAACATTTCTTAGGTCAATTCAGCCAAACTAGACCCAACCACTCAAGCGTTTGGCCAAGCACCAACTAGGGATAATGCTTGTCCCGACCTTGCACATATACAGCTCTAATTGATCCATTCCCAATGGCATTTTCTGCCCCCTTGGCATTAATAGCTTGAATTTTTATTAAATTTATGTTTAATATACTATAATTGTCCTAAATTATAAGATATCATTAAAGATATTTGGTTGTCCCAAAATATGACATTATTTGACAAAAAAAAGATTAAATTGATGATGCTTTTCTAATATTATCCTAGAAAAGAAGGAAGAATTAAAATGATTGTAGTGTAATAATTAAGTATATAGATTTAAAGTTATATTAAATAAAGTGTATTTTTGAAAGTGTATACTCCTTCCATTTACAAATATAAGGTATTTTTTTTTAATGTTTGGATATCTAAAAATGCAAGTGTTTTGAAATGTAATTAATATATTTTTACCAAAAGTGCTACTAATAAATTATTCATTTTATATTTATTTTAAGGAAAAATGATAAAGAGGTTCCAAAAGGACCAATTAATTCAAATTAGGTCCTAAGTGTCAAACTTTAGAAATTTGCAACTGAATCTCTCAGTTTTACAACTGCATTGTGATGAATTTGTGAATTGTTTTTCAAATTTTAACATTGTTGAAGAATAAAAAAATTATTTTTCCTGTTAAAATTTGGAATACAAGTTATAAATTCATCACAATGGAGTTGCTAAATTAAAAGATTGAGTTATAAATTTTTAAAATTTAACACTTGAGACCTGACTTGAATTAATTGATCCTTTTGAGACTTCTCTATCATTCTTCCTTATTTTAAACAAGGGATATCTTGTAGAATCATCATTTGAATTCCTATTTATAGTGTATCTTTGGTTGTGATTGTCCTTACACTAAAGCTATTTAGTTTGGGTCTATGTATATGCTCTCTTCGGATTTCTTAGATGGGAGGTTTAGTTCTTACATCCTGCATATTTCTTATGCACTTCATCATAGCCAACTGGATAAACTCTTAGAAAGTACTCCTTCAATTTAAAAATATAAGGCACTTTTTGATGAGTTAGATATTTAAAAATATAAAGTATTTTTAATCTTTTTGAGGTGTAATCATTGTTTTTTTTACAAAAGTACCTCTATTGATAGTGACTTTATATTTATTGTAAAGTATTTAATAGGAATAAATACAAAAAGATAGGGTTAGTTTGAAAGTAGGTAACTACTTTATTGGGGGATGAAATTTGATTAAAAATGTCTTATATTTTTATACAGAGAGAATATATTTTTTTCTTAGTCACTTGATATGGTTATACAAGAATCAGGCTTCGCGTAGAAGAAATATCACTCCTGTGGATCAGGTTATTCATCAGTTCAAAGGAAAATATTTTTTCTTCACCCATGCATGCAATTGGATAAACGTTCACAATACCAGCATAACTAATCGCCACAAAATTCAAGAGGAAAAATTAGTACCTAACTTGTTTTAGCCCTCATATTCAACGAGATATTCATTTTTAGAAAATCAAGCTCCACTTATTTAAGAAAGGGAAAAAAGCATAATGTGCTGTTCATTTACCTCCAAATGGTGAAGAATGTCCTGAAGTGATTTTTCTGCAGATCTGAAACCATATCCCCACAGCTTTTTTTTGACTTTCTATTTATGTGCTCTTGAATTCAAAATTTCTCTCAAAGATTTTTTCAAGATCAGTCGAATCTAGGAACCTTGCATGTTTGGTATAAATAAGGGAACTTGCTTCTACCCTACACGTAATCATCTGCTCGATCAAGTTGTCATTAGGCTCTTACAAGATTTGACAACTATAGAGCTCAAAAGAGAGGTCTTGATGTTTCTATTTTCCTTACTTTTACTGTTTCTAGTAGTTCCGTTCATTCTATTTTAACATTATCCTTATAGTTACTTTTTATTTTTATTTGTTAATATATTTTCTTTTTTACAAAAAAATATAAAATACCTTATTAAATAATAATAAATATAAAAAAATAGTATTAGTTTATAAATATAAAAAAAATAATATTAGTTTAAAAACAATTAACTATTTTTTAAAGTGTAATTCAATTAAAAATAATCTTATATTTTTTGAAATGGAGTGATTATTTTTATTTTGAAAAAATAAATTTATAAAGTATCATTATTAAATTTTAGTGTGCATATTAAAAAATGATAGCTAAATTGTAAATAACAATTTTTATACTATAATCATTTTAAATATAATACAACCACTTTAAAAATTTTCTAATTAATAATTTTGAAAAAAGAATAATGATATTTAAATTCTAAAAAATTAAATTAAATTTTAAAGATTAAATTTATTATTTATGTATTTTGATGGTCATAGTTGTTGAAAGTATTCATTTATAGAAGTCAGAAATATTTTATAATTATTATTATTAGTGGCCATCAAAAAATTGTATGTTGATCTGTATGAGAATTTTTGACACTTAATAATTGTCAAAAAAAATATAAAACTTTTATTCATCACCACTTATTGCCAACAATACTATTTTCAACAATATTTTATTTAACATTGTATTAACGGTCACATAAGTGTTAATAAAACTAATATTGATAGTAAATAACACATATTTTAACATTTGTCACGCTCAAATATAGTGATTTTTTTAGTAGTGGTTGATTTTAAAAAAATAAAAAAAAATAAACTGCGAGTATCGCTAGCATAGTTATAAATAAGAATTTTAATTACAATCTTAAAGTTACATTTAAATGATAATTATGTACTTTTTTTTTTGAAAAAATTTAGTATAACCTGATTAATATTAATTTAATATTTTAGGTTTTAATGTCATTTCCTCGAAACTCTATCCTGCCCCCAATGTGTAATAGAAGACGGCGTGTCTTGGAGGAAGATAAGAGGGGAAAGTGACCTGACACCTAACACTGACTTGGGAAAGTGGAAACGAGTTTCCTCCACTTAACCCTCCACATTATTGTTACTCCTTATTCAGATATAATGTTAAGTAAAGTTGTTATTAAAAGGGTCAAGTTATAAAACTAAAATAAATAAATGAATTTAAAACGATAAAATTTCATGAGGACACTAAAAGAGAGATAAAAAAATATTTTTAAAATATTAAATTTAATCCATTCAAATTAATTTTTATATGATAATTTAAATGAATAAAGGAAAAGGAAGGAATAAAAATCTGAAAAGTGAAAACTGTTCTACCTCCTATTTTTTTAACCAAGAATTATCATAATTTTTAAAATGACAAGTTATTTAATTATTTACTTATTACTTATTTCCTTCCGCTGGACCATATCAAGAAGGATTGTTGGAGTAGAAAAAATAAATGAGAACGCCAAAACAGTAGATTGTTCTGAGAGAGCAAAGAACTGCATTGAGTGCTAGAAATATGATTATTGTATCGGAGAGCATCAAGAATTTGTACGAGACCATCAATAAAAAGGTGAATCTGTGTGAAAGTAATAAGATCTTGTACGAGAGCATCAGTCAAAATGATAATCTGTCTGAGAGTGCAAAGGATGGACTTGAAAAGAGCAAGAGGTGGGTCGAAGAAGAAAAATCAGCCAAATCCGTAAGTAATGATAATAAAGATTTACTCATCAAAGGAGGTGGAGATCTTCTTCATGCTGCTCTTGGCCCCTGGGTTGGACTTGCCAGTGGATTCATCCTAAAAAGTGCTGTTTCTGATGATCACTGCAAGATCGCCAAAAATGGGCTTGAAAAAGGCCAGAATTGGGTGGAAGAAAAGGTACGAGCCACAGGAATAAGTGATGAGCGGAGAGATTTACTCGTCAGATCAGGTGGAGCTCTTGTTCTTGCTCCTGCTATTGGCTACTGGGGTGGAATTGGAAGTGCCTTTGGATTCTTATTAAGATGTGTTCCTTCTGACAATTACTACTACCAGATGGCGAAAAACAGGATCGAGACGAGTAAGAGTTGGGCTGGAGAAAAGATAAGAGCGAAAGGAATAAGTGATGAACAAATGAATTTTCTGATCAAAGCTGGTGGAGCTCTTGCTCTTGCTGCTTCTATTGGCTACTATGGATTAAAACGAGGATCTGGATCTGCTAATGCTTCTGATGATGATATTGAAAAACTTATGAAAGCGCCTGGTCGACCCGGCGAGTTCATAAAGAGAGCCGCCTTTGAAGCAAACCCTAGAGCTTACTTTCGTGAATTACGCGGCAAATATCCATGGCAGAATTAAGCAAGCAGATCAAGATCAAGATCTATCACATGTGACGCTTTTTTCTTCTCGTTTTTTTTTAACTGTTTTTTCTGTTATGGGTTTTAATTTCCTTCAGGTTGATTTGATCTGTGTCTTCCCTTTATGTACTGGTTAAAGATTCACCTGTTGCTTTCTTTTGCTTGTTTGATGTCAGTTTACGCTTCTGTTCATCTTGCTGCTAAATCTCTGCAGGTTTGTATCGTGTGGGGAAGAGAACGAAAATTATTCCCAGAAAAAGTCTGTTGCTCCTTTTATTTCCTTTTAGTATTTTCGGTAGAATCTCAGGCAAAAAATTTTATGACATGGCAGAATTAAGTAAGCAGATCAAGATCTATCGAATGTGACGCTCTTTTCTTCTTCTTGTGGTGGTGGTTCTGTTTTTCTACTGTTTTTTCTGTTCTGGGGTTTAATTTTCTTCTGGTTGATCTGTGCTTTTCTTTTATGTTGGTTTGGAGATGACATGATGTAGTGGTTAAAGATTGGCCTTGTGCTTTCTTTTGCTGTTGTTTAATGTCAATTTATGCTTCTGTGCTTCTTGCTGTTAATAAATCTCTGCAGATTGGTGTCTTTCGTATCATGTGGCCAAGAGATCGAAAATTATTGCCAGAAAAATTTTGTTGCTCCTCTTTTCTGTTTTAGTCTTCTCAGAAATCTCAGGAATTATAATTTTACTTCATTTAAAAAGTTTGAAGATGGTTTTGAAATTCAGAGAAAAGCCAGAAGAATGATAGGAAAATAAACAAGTGACGCATACTTGATACAAGGCATTTTTTTAAAAATATAGTGTGTCCGTCCGTGTGTGTGTGTGTGTGGGTTTTTTTTTTTTTTTTTTGTTTTGTTGCCCATTAAATTACCAATCGTGATAAGAGAGGGAGGACAGATACAATGTAGAAGAGACATCGAAAATCAACAATCGTGGTTGAATTCAGTGGAAAGTTTAATTTTTCATGAGGTGACGAATTAAAAATTTAAATTTATGATAAAAGAAGTGTTCTCGTTTGATATTCAATAGTATCTCAAGAAGATTATATTTAATAAAAAATTATTTATGGATAATCAAGAGAGACATGGCAAATTGGAGCGCACAAAAGGAGACCGGTTTTGGTGTTCATTATTGTGGTGGGATTTGGACAATTTAAATTTTGATCTGAATGGTTTAAATTTCAAATATTATTATATATTATATTTATTAAAATAAAAATATAAAAAAATTATAAAATAATTTTAATAAATTTTTTATTTTTAATATGCCCTAAATTTAATTTAGAAGATCCAATTTAATACTAAAATTTTTATAATTGATATATATTGACTATCCAGATGTATTGTGTACAGGTCAAATTAATTGATTTGGCCTGTACAGAATATATCTGAACCATCCAAATCTAGGCCATATTAAAAATAAAAAATATATTAATATATTTTTTATTTTAATAAATATAAATATAAAAATATATAATAATTTTTTAAATCTGAACCATCCAGATCAAAATCTGAATGGTTCAGATTTCACCACCACCGAAACCGGTCTCGTATAAGAGAGAGGAGGGAAGATAATGAGAAAAAGCTAAAAAACTTGAAGAAGAGAAAAAGGAAATTAAAATTATGATATATCTAATCTAATATAAATCTAAATCCTTTTAAACGTATAGGAGGAGTATCATCCATTCAAATAATTTAGTTTTTTATTAGATGTTAAATGTATTTTATCGTAATATACATACAGCAAACAAGTCCTTTTATGGCCCTTTAGAATAATTTAGCCATAATATGGTCCTTCATGTTCTCAAATTTAATTTTACCTTCACAATAAATTATTTTTTTTTTTAAATGAAATGATGGAGCACTAAAATGCAGGTTAGGAAAGCATCCCCTTTAATCACTAAAGTTGGAATTTCTTTTTTAAAGCTGGCATGATGACATCCATGATAAAGTTACAGTAAATTTCACCATCTGAAAAAGAAACCTTGAAAATTGTAAACTCACTCACACACACCAATATAAAAAAGAAAACTTGGGTTGAATTAAGTTATGATCTTTTATTTTTTGGTTTAAGTACTTATAAGTTATTTTTTATGGGAAAATTTCAGCTAAACACTAGAAAAGAGACTTAATTTTTTAAAATATTTTAAAATTTCAATTCAATTCATGAGAAAAAGTCAAAAGAACTTTAAAGGTGAAAATATCAAAACGCCCTTCAATTATTATGCACAATCATTAGTTGTTATTTTTTTTTATTTCACTTGTTAATTTACGAATATGAATTGCAAATTACATAAGTTGATATGTTGATAATTATATAAGACTTGATATTAATTTTTCAATTATAAGCAGCAATATCAATTGTTAAATTGTTAACTTTACTTGTTAATTTACTAATATCAATTATAAATTATAAAACCTATTAGTAATTTACAATTAATGTTAATAAATTACAAGACCTATAAATAATTTACAACTCATGTTAGTAAATTAACAAGTAAAGTTAGCAAATTAATAACTAATATTATTAATTGTCTTACAAATGGATATAATTTATAAGTGATATTAGTAAATTAATAAGTATAATAAGAAAATTAATAATTAGTGATTTTTCATAACATGTAAAGGATATTTTAGTGTTTTTACTGTTGAAATTCTCTTGACTTTTTTCCCCTAAACTAAACTGAAATTTTAGAATGTTTTTGGACCTATTGGAAATTAAATCTCCTCCCTAATCCTTCACTGAAATTCTCTCTTTTTTAATTATATCACTAGAATTAAAAAGAACTAGATAAATTATTGATGAGTACAAATTTATTTGATTTATTGTATTAAGCGTATCATATTTAAAAATATTTTTTTCTCATATATCATCTTTTATTCTACTACAGAGTAAAATTTTTTAAAAAGTAATTATTGAAGCATTTTTTATATAAAGTCACTTATAAAAAAGATAATCAATTGCTTCTAAAACATAAATTATGTCATGCCACTGCATAATTTCTATTATATAAAATTTATCTTTTCATTAAAACAAAAATCTTCGTTATATACTATTAATTGCAAGGATTCCAAATTTTTGAAGTTTTCTTGTGATCCATATACCCACACGAAGAAGGATTAGCCAAAACTCATCAAGCACTTTAGAAAAATGGAATGGGTTGGCTCAGCAGGAAGACAAATGAGATGGTTATTGGAGAGTATTAAAAGTATGAATTTGTCTGAGATTAACAGCATCGGAAATAATTGGTACCAAAGCATCACAAATAATATGAATTGGTTTGAGAGCTATAACAATTGGATTCAGGAATTAATAAGAACCCAAGGAGTAATAATAACAAAAGAAAATGTTTGGTATTTCCTAAGGTTTTATAAGCAATTAAATTTATAATCAAGTTTTTCCTAGCAATTTCTTGGTCTATTTGACCAAATTTTTCCTAGAAAAATACATGCCTCGTTCCTTGTACTTGCATTATGCTTTTTGGGTCCGAAACCTCGTGCCTTGCCCCCGAAAGAGAGAGAGAGAGAGAGAGAGAGAGAGAGAGAGAGAGACCTGCCTTGGCACCAGAGCTGCATTATTACTCTTGAAGAAATGATAATAAAATTTTACCTGAATGTATGAATAATATCAAGAAAACACAATTATTCATCCATATAATTTTATTTTTAAATTTATAATTTTTTAATATTTTTAATTTTTATAATTTTAAAAAAATTGAGTGATTTTTATTTTTAGATCCTTATAATTTTTATTTTTTAATATTTTTAGTCCTTAAAAAATTACAATAATTAAAAGTAAAATTTGATAAAACTATAAAGGTGAAAGATTATATTTTTCTAATGATAATTAAGTTTTTTTAAAATATTATAATAATGATAATTAAGTTTTTTTAAAATATTATAATAATGATAATTAAGTTTTTTTAAAATATTATAATTTTTTTAAAGTCTTTATTAGCTTTTTACATTAACAATTTTATATTAAATAATTAAATTATTTTCTGTTTAAAATAAAAATAATGAAGAACTGCGCTGAAAGTGCTAAAAATATGATTATTATTTCGGAGAGGATTAAGAATTTGTACGAGAACATCTGTAAAAATGTGAATCTATGTGAGAGCAATAAGATCTTGTACGAGAGCACCAGTCAAAATGAGAATCTGTCTATGAGAGTGAAGAGGATGGCTTTGAAAACAGAAGAGCAAGAGATGGTCGAAGAAGAAAAATCATCCAAATCTAAGTTTTAAGGGAGAATTTCATTTAAAGAATAGGAAAGCAACATATCTTCTGGTAGCTTTCAAAGAATTTCAAAATATCAGTTCAGTCTTATGGAGCTAAATTGAAAATAAGTTGAAAGTAGAAAAGACTAAAATACACTCAATTCAAATATTTAAAAAAAAAACCAGCCACCATTGCTAGTGACTGGAGCTTCGCTGACGATAGTGACCATTGGACCTCTGTCTCCAGAGCTCTAGCCGCCAGCTGAACCATTGTCGATGGTGGCTGGAGAATTATGAAGAATTAATTTCTCCAAAGGTGACTAAGGTGGGTGTAGAACCCAAGACCCATTGGTTCACTAAAAAATTTTGAACCCCCAAGTCCCTCAACCCATTTAATTATATAATGCATAAAATTATATATATAATAAACCTTATTTTCAAACCACTTGATTATTACATTATTTGTTAATCATGTAACTTTACTTGTTAATACCTTAACAGGACTTGTTAATTACTTAATTTTCCTTGTGAACCCCACAACTCCTATAACAGAAATGAATTACTTGTTAATTGCATAATTATACTTGTTAATACATTAACAGGACTTGTCAATTACTTAACTCTTCTTGTTAAGTCTGTGACTCCCACAACAGAGCTTCATTACTTATTAATCGTGTAACTGTTGTTGTTAATATCTTAATAGAACTTGTTAATTACTTGAATGTACTTGTCAAATCCATGACTCCTTCAATTGAACTACATTACTTGTTAATTATGTAACTGTACTGGTTAATTAGGCAACAATACTTGTTAATTGTGTAGCTTGATTTGTTAATATCATAACAAGACTTGCTTAATTATTGTTTCAAAAAAGCAACCAAATTACTTATTAATTGCATAAATTTACTTGTTAATTCCTCAACAATACTTGTTAATTATCTATTGTCACTTGTTAAATGAATATATAATTTACATAAAAAATTGAGTTTATGAGATAACAAAAGTGATGACAGTCAAGTTTCCCTTACCAGTAAGGAAGTACCTAACAATGTAAGGTTTTTGGTGAGTGCCTATCTTTACAGGGCTTTAAACAGTAAGGAAGTACCTAACAATGTAGGGCTTTTGGTGACTGCCTGTCTTCACAGGGCTTTGAACGGTAAGGAAGTGCCTAGCCATGTAGGGCTTTTGGTGAATGCCTGTCTTGACAGGGTTTTGAATGGTAAGGAAGTGCCTAGCCATGTAGGGCTTTTGGTGAGTGCCTATCTTTACAGGGCTTTGAACGGTAAGGAAGTGCCTAGCCATGTAGGACTTTTGGTGAGTGCCTGTCTTTA